GAAAGAGGAAGGGGGGGGGGGGGGAATGGTGCATAATAAAATGTAGGAAGTACCTAGAACCAATTATGGGAGAACAGTGGGGAAGGACATGCCATGTTTTAAGCCTCTTCTCTGTCCCAGATAGTGAACTAAGCCTTTTCACTTATTTCAGTTCCTTCTGATTTTAATTCTGTTTTCTTTGGCAGGAGGGAAATGTGTATTGTGGTCTCAAGACTTGCCCCAAATTAACCTGTGCATTCCCAGTCTCTGTTCCGGATTCCTTCTGCCAGGTGTGCAGAGGTAGGTATTAATATGAAGATTCAAGGGTTCTGCCATTCTGAGTAACAGAACTTAGAAAAGGTAAAAATGCCTGTGCAGTGTCTTAGTAAAAAGGGATTTTTCTTTTGCTTTTTGCTTCATTTCTTTTTCTTTTTCTTTTTTTTTTTAAATTTACATTAACAACTGTACATTTTCACAGTGTACAATGTGGGTTCTCAAAGCATGTCAAACAAGACAGAGATATTCTATGATAACCTTAGTTTTTAAATGTGCTTACATTCACAAAAGAAAAATAAAAGCATTAATTTTAAGGGTAGCAGCATAAAGGAAACTATGCTGGAGTGTGCAGAGAAGGATAGATGGAAGTCATCTAATGTGAAAGCAAATATCTTAATTTTTCCTTCCTTAATCCCTTCTAGTTTGACCCCCTAAATTATTATATCATAAAACACAGGCCATTTCCAGGCACAGCCTAAAAAGGAAGAATGGACTGCAAAACATTAATGTAACCATTCTGAAGATTGCAGGTTTTATTTTTTTAATCCCACAATAAAATAGTGACAAACTCAATAAAAGCAATATGAAAGGCATCATCTTCTCAAATTATAACTAAAATGGAATTGTCATCTTCTCAAACCAGTCTCTTCTTCTTTGGGTACCATTTTAATTTTTATTATAATGGCACCTTTATTTCTTCGTCTAAACTCCTGGGTTCAAACCTAATCACTTTTAATTCCTCCTTTGTTTCCTCTTCTCAGATTTCCAAATCTGTCAGCAGTGAGGATAATATTAGCACTTACCTCTGAGATGGTTTGAGATTTAAATGAAATGATGCAAGAAAAGGACATAGCAAAGAGTCATGTGTATAGTGAGTACTCAGTAACTAAAAGTGGACATATTCGAAATATTGAGTCATTTGAAAAGTCATGATGTATTTTTCTGTTTCTCTTTGCAAAATGCATCATGACTTTTCCAAAACCCAATACAAAGGGTCTTCGGAAATTTTGTGAGAAATGTGTATTATGAAAAAACTATGCATGGATTTCAAATTTTTTGGCAACAAAATAAACTCATACTTTAATTCTGTTTTTCCTCAAATTTTATGAAGTTCCCTCAATAAGTTGATATCATTGGTTCTCATCCATGGGTGAATATTGCAATTACCTCAGAGGGAAAAAAAATTATAGAATTTCCTGGTGAGGGACAGGTAAGTGACTACTGTACATAGCTGCCATCTTTTAAAAAAATAATTAAATTATTATCATAATCTTGTTTATATTAAATTGAATCACATATAACTTTACAGTGTATTCCATTTATTTTACCAGGAGGAATACCATGCATATCAGTGAATACAGAGACATTAAAATCTCCATCTTCATCATCCAATAGCTTTTCATTTTTTTCCGATTGTTATTATTATTCCAATAATTTTTAAACAGTCAATCACTATTTATCATTTTGCTTGTAAAAAGACTTTACTCAACTTGAATTACTTCTCAGACCAATCCAGTTAAGAAAACTATACATGTCATCATAGTGGGACCATATCTGTGTCCCACTGATGTCATACCTCTTTATTTGTTCTCTTGCTATCTTTCTCTATACTCTTCTCTTCTCCTCCCCCATTCCACATTGTCTTATCATCATTAACCATTTTCACTGCTTTTATGCCCTCCAATATTTCGATCTCTACTACAGAGTGCAGATAATCGGTATATATTAAGTGGATACATACATTATCTTTCTTTCATATCTAGGCTTACTTCACTCCATAGCTTCCATCTTAAACATCCAAAAATAGCCTCAACCTTGCTACATCCTTTCAGAAATACTTATGCTGCTTACTATATGCCAGTTTTAGTTCTTAGTACTTTACAGATATGAACTAATTTAATCTTATGACAATCCTACATGGTGAGTACTATTATTACTCCTATTTTATGGATGAAGAAACTGAGACAGAGATAGGTTAAGGACTTTCTCTAAGGTCAGGTAGCTCATGAATTAAGCATCTAAAATTTGAACCCTGGCAGTCTGGCTCTAACGTTATAGCCCTTAACCATGATGCTCTATTGCTGAAAGGGATGGCTCTCTATTGCCACTAGAATACATGTCAACCTCCTGACTCTTACAGTGAAAGCCTACTATTGTCTAGCCTCATTTTACATTTATAGGCTGGTATTCTTCCATTCATGCACCTCAGGTTCCACTCCCATTGATCCTGTGCTTTTTCACCCTTATACCTTTGCACTGTGCTCTTCCTTTCAATGTTTCCCAGACTTCAGTGTACTTCAGAATCACCTAGAAAACTTACTGAAATCCAGATTTCTGGACTACACCTACAGATATGCAGGTTTAGTGGCTGTGGGTTGCGACCTGGGAATCCACATTTCAACCAAATCCCACCATTCATTCTGATTCTTTACATAGACCACCACTTGGATAAACAATTCCTAAGATCATGTTTATGACTAGGACAACCTGGAATGATGGTTTTATATCTGAGTTTAGTGCCCTTGAATTGAACCTATTAAAAGTCTGAAACATGAATAAGCCAGTAGAAAAGTAATCAAGCTCAGTCTCTGATTGGACATCTAATTCCAGCCCTACAGCAAACATATGAATGAGTGGCTATCATTTCATGATAAGGAATTAGGAGGAAAAGGCAACAAAATGGCTGCCTAAGCAACAATTGTACATGTTTAGGTTGAAAGGAGAAAATGTTGCCGCTTTCTGGAAAATCCTTTCCTTCCATCTCTGCCTATGGAAATCTGGCCATCCTTCAAGACCTAGATCAAATGTAGCCTCTCTAGATCATAATTCAGGTCATTTTCATATCACATTAAAAGGATTGAAGTATGGTACTAGCTGGAAGGCCTTTTGCTCTTCTGTGCCTCTCACCTCCAACCCTAACTTCTACATCCCTAAATCCTGTTTATCCTTCAAAGGTCTACCATGAAGCATTTTTTCATCCTGAAACCTAGGAGTAACTCTGCCTCTTCTGTAGGACCCTTCTGTACTTAACCTGTGCTTTTATGGTAGCACTTATCACTTGTCAACTTCTGTCTTCTATTTTTTGTGCTGATGTCTTATAGTCTTTAGCAATGTGTAAACTTTTTTTTTTTTGAGAGGTTTTCACTATAGGGCGCGTGCGCTCGCCAGACAGACAGAGAGAGACATAGAGATAGAAAGCAAGAAATCACCCTTCAGGGGGGATGGTCACGCCGCAATCCCTTCTCCTCCATTCTCGGGGCCCTGGGAAAGCATCCACACACGCCCAGCGTGAGTTTTAAGCCACCGGGTCAGGGACGCAAACCGCGGTCGACTATGTGGGAGTCCAGCAACACAGCCATTACGCTAACTGCTGGTTCCCATGTGTAAACTTCTTATGGCAAAAACTATCTCCCTAACTGCATTTTGGCACAGAGTAGATGCTCTTGGAATGAATGCATGCTAGGTTGGAAAGATTAGTACAAAGTTAATCATTATATGTATTAGATGCTACTAAAATAGGATACAATTATTGTTGGCTTTTCCCCCTGAATTATGGATTGACTGTGGTAGGTGTTGCTAACTAAATCTTGGTTCATGATCATTAGGAAATTACGTGGTGTCATTCTTGATCTCCAGGTTGCTTTTTCTTCCCTTCTCCACTTTAGGACACTATTAATATTTCTTTTCTTTTCTTTTTCTTTTTTTTTTTTTAGAGGTTTTTGCTATAGGTTGCGTGCACTCTCCAGAAAGACAAAAAGAGACAGAGAGACAGAAAGCAAGAAATCATTCCCCAGCGGGGATGGCCACGCCACAATCCCTTCTACTCCATTCTCTTCTCAGGATCTTGGGCACGCACGCACACACACCCGGCGTGAGTTTAAGCCACTGGGTCCAGGACTTGAACTGTGGTCGAGTACATGGGAGTCCAGCGACATAACCATTATGCTAACTGCTGGTCCCTCAATAATATTTCTTTTTGGAAGGACTTTCTGGAAAATACTGTCCTTCCATCCCTGCCTGTGGAAATCTTTCCAGTCCTTCAAGACTTAGCTAAAATGTGACCCTCCTAGATCTTCTGGATCTTCTAGACCTCAAATGCAGCCTTCCTAGACCTTCTTATGATTACCAATATGTGCTCTTACCTTTTAACATGATATCTGTATCAACCTTATTAACATAATATGATTTCAGTAACAACCTCATTTGATTCATGCCTCAATAAGCCTTTGGGTCTTTCCATATAAGTTTCTAAGAATGTGTGCATATACATATCTCTGTACCATGGTGCATTTATTTTATTTTTTTAATAATAATTTATTTATTTAATTCCATTTGTTATCATTACTATTATTATTTAATTTGACCATGGAGAAACAGAGAGAGATAGAGACAGAGGAAAAGTGAGAAAGCAAGCTGCCAGGTCCGGGACTTGAACCACATTTGGCTATGTGGGAGTCCAGTACCCTAACCACCACACCACCTGCAGGCCCCCATGGTGCATTTATAATATTTCATTCAGGAGAGATAGATATGTTGTTCCTTACTTTCTTTCTCATTTTTGCCTCAGATTAATTGGAGACTTCCCTCAAAGGAAGAAAGTCCATACAGAAAAGCAACGTACACATGGTTGCTAATATAATCAGTTGGTTGCTATGATCTAGTTGTTAGGATCACATTATTTTTTGAGGGAAAAGGATATATAAAATCTAAAGTGAAGAACAACTGATATAACGGAAAGGAAACAAACATAAAAGGCATGTATTGCATCTGAGAGGCAATATATTCATAATTCAGAGAATGCAGGCTCTGAAGGCAGGAGGACAGATTTGACATTGCATGGCTACCATCTACTAGTGCTGCTATATTGGACAAGGTACTTAACCACTCAGAACCCTCGTTTTCTCAGCTGTAAAACTGGAGATTATAATAACTACCACCCATGGAATGGTTGTAAAGATGAACTGAGATGGCAAAAATTGCTAGGAGAGGGCCTCACATAGAGCTACTGCTTCATAAATGATAAT